TACTGTGCCAGCGCCGTGCGATCGGTGCGATTGTTTTGCAGAGGTGGCGCGCGTGATCGGACGAGCGCGGGCCGCGGCCGCGTGGACGCGCGCGTGGGATAAACGTTTTCCATCGACGACATCGACGACATCGACGTTTTCAAAACATTCGTCATGGAGACGGTTAAACATTTGTGGAACGTCAATCAGTTCATGACGAAGCTGGAGAGCCCGCTGGTTACGCAGTTACAGACGTTTTACATGTAATTTCCCGCTTTCTTACTGAAACCACTTTGCTTGCAATAAATATGAAATACTGTTAAATTAATGACATTTTAACGTTATCGCTCGATTATTATTATTGTTAAGAGGATCCCATCTTTTTTCCTGACACGGTCAACTATCGTTTTTGGGCTTGTAATTCTTTTCATTAGATTTTCATTAGCTAACCTCAAACACTTATAAAGTGATATTTTTAATTGCTCTTCTTTGTTTTATATATAAAGTCGACTGTCCCTGGCCTTGTCTTTATGCGTACTTTAATTGTGTGGAAGAGTTTTGCAATTTTATAAAGTCAATTTCAAATTTAGCACCAACTACGAATAAAAAATTTTAAATATCAACATCTTTTCTATTAGACTTTTTAACAGAGTGCTTAATCGTGACAATGTTCTGCTATGCGGTCCGCAACTTATCCTGGTATTATTTTGTGCATAAAAGCCAATAAAAAGAATTACAAGAGCGCAAAAAATATATTTGACTGTATCAGTAAAAAAATACGGCTGAGGGATCCAGCTTAAGTGTTTTAACGAGAATAATTGTGTCAGAAACAATTTTGTGTATAATAATTAGAAATTTAATCTGAAAGGAGATCAATTATTTGCACTTCTATATTGTCAGCAGGTTTGTAAAAGGATTCCTTTTAATTCTTGTTGAAACGTTTTCAGGCAAAAGTGTAAACGTCTTAGCCACAGTGTAGAGCTGCCGCAGCAGAACTTTGGGCCACTAGTAACGTGTTCGCATTGTGGATCGCTTTGGAGTACGGTGGACCATCAAGTGCGGATGTTGAGTAGCCGGAGAATGTCCAAGTCGGTGAAGAGGATCGTGCGACACATGAGTGAAAATCCAGATCAAAAGATACCGAAAGTTCGCGCGACTTTGGCGCGGAAGTCTATAAAAAATGAGATGAGTCGGTTGGTCATAAAATGTTCCGTCTGCTCCAAGAACACCGAGTTGCCGTTCAAGAAGAAAAGCCGCTTGAAGCCAGTCAAGGTGGATAACTCGCAGGCGGCGACACCGCAAGGCAACCGTAAGAGGAAAAAGAAGAAATCCAGAGACAAGACTGCTGGTTTAAATATCTCAGTTTGCACGCCCGTCTCACAATTAAATAAGAAAAACAGTAAAGCACCTACGTTGTCGCCTGTAATTACGCCTAAGACTATACCAAGAAATAAGAAATTATCTACTTTCCATAAAGAGCCCAGGAAACTGGATATAGAGCGATTAAAGCGTATCATGGAGACCAAGTCGACAACGCCTACAAAAACAAATAGCTTGCACAGTTTCCTGGCTGGGTTATAGCAAAAATATTATGCCTTAATGCCTGGTCAGGCACTCATCAGGCAGCCCTGACAGGGCCCTGACCGTAAATGTAACGTCGAGATTTATCCATGATCCAGACCACTCATAGCAAAAATATTATAGATGCTCGCGTGCAATATGTATATATCTTCGTACAATAATGGCCACGTTCAGCAGGCACAACTGTTGAGTGTGCGCTCAGTATGATTGGTTAATACTTTTAGATCCAGCCAGTCATATTAAGAAATTGTTGAGCGCTCACTCAACAGTTGTGCCTGCTGAACGTGGCCATTATCTCTTTTTAATAAACGGTTAAAACGGCGTGCGGGTTTAACAGAAATACAATACAAATTTTGAATTCGAAAATTTAGAACCTCTGTCTCTAAAATATCGGGGTGTTAAGAAGAGAATGTGGCTGAATATATCGGTTCATAAAACATTTTACATTGTTAATGCAGTTCTTATTAGGCTTTTAAACCAATAAAGTAAGAAGCTAATTAATTGTTCTTAAGAAGTGCTTCTTGAAAAGTTCATTGTTCTCCAATTGAAAACAATTGTTCAACCGTTTGCGGCTGAAAATGTAAATACTCACTTGAGACATTGAAACGCGCCCCAACAGTTACAGATTGTCGATTTTTATTAAGATTAGAAAGGTATAGATACAGATCGATGATTTTTATTAAGATTAGAAAGAAGGACTTTATGAATGCTGCGACTACTTTCTTAAATCAAATCGTCTATTTCTTGGAAAACAGTAATATAAAGCAGAAATAAATACATATTTCTCAAACATTAATTATATAACTCCCATTAATAATTGCTCTATCCATCAAGAAGTAAAGAAACATTCGACTGCGCTGTTGCGCTTCTTTGGCTGTTAACAAGTAGAGCACGTAGAGACGAGCGCCGTTTCTTCTCGCCGAGTATCTACGAATGGTTTTTGCGAACGAAACGTCGAGTTAAGATACAAATCACGCCGCGTCGAAGAATAAACAATTTACGACATTACAACTAAATGACGCTTCGTATTACAATACTCCTGGTACCGTGGTCCTACGTTATTTTCACCCCGTGGGCTCCCATGTGGTCCGTGAGAGTGAAATGAATACCCTACACAATATACGGTCTGGTCGCTTATGGCCTCGGATACGCGCGCGTCCGATTTTTTTGCCCCGAGATTCTCCTCCGCAGTCACTCCAGCGGAATCTCCTGCTTTACGACCTGCAACATTGGGGCATACTTTATGCACGGTAAAGTTGTAGAATTTTAATGTATTCCCGCGGCACAAACCTCGCTCGTATACCTTATTTACTTCGATATCCGCATAAAAAACAACACACACACACACACAGGACAGGGAAATCGTTATTTACGCAGTGGGAAGCTGCGAACGGCCGCGCGGATCTACGAAGTTGGACATTAAATTTTTATTTCGCGTTAAATAGCACATATAAAAGCACAGTCGATAGAATTCTCTCCATTTCCAGAACGAGAATTATCACCAAAAATTGACGAATAGATTAAATGTATTGGCTTCCTCCATATACATTTAATAAATTCATAATGCATAGTTTATCAAAGTTTATATACATTTTCACGTGGAATTACGCAAAGATGTAAATTTCATTGTTTAAGATTAATTAATACATTGAAATTTCACCGAGAACCTGTACAGAAAGGTAGATCAGTTAACTGGAATTGATATCGCGGATTGGAGCGTGCAAATATTAAACATAAAATTCTGATTGAAATATTATTTAAAATTGTTCCTGGTTATGCTTTTGTAATTCTCACATCATACTTGATATTGATTTAATTTAGTTAAATTCTGAATACATGAAAAAAGTCGGTTTTAACGCGTTTCTATTCTCATTGCAAAACATTCTCCCATTTTCATTGGGTCGATGCATAAATTAAATCGCCCCGTTTTTAAACATTCGCGCACTTTTGTATACGAATTCGATCTGCTATCAACTTAGCACTTACATGTCGTATTAAACGTTCGAAAGTAACAATTGAACGGAAACTTCGCTGTCAAATTTGTTGTCGTCGATTGCCGCTTGTGAGTCATGTAAATTTACAAAGATGGATAAAAATAACCATTCGCTTTCGGCATATTGCGCTTTTTTATTTTCGAAAAGGCGAAACTGCTGTTCAGACCGAAAGAAAAATATGTTCTCTCTACGGAGAAGATGCTATTGACGATTCCACCGTTCGTATATGGTTCCGACGATTCCGTAATGGAAATTTTTATCTCACGGATGAGAAACGTTCTGGACGGCCTTCCGAAATTGACAGTCACGAAATCTTGGCCTCGATTGAAACCGATCGTCATAAAACAACTCGCGAGATCGCCGATATCGCTGATTAAAAGTATATCGACAAAATATAATAAGGTGCGAAATCTTTGGTTTAAAAACAGGACGAACTTATGCGTCAACCCAATATTTACCTCAGCAGTCCGATTAAAGTGTAATTTTATCCTATAAAAGAGAGGAATAGCGAAGTACCCCTTTTTTTTTATACGGAGGACAACTCCACACGTTACATAAATTGTAAACTGAATTTCGTTCGGAACAAACCCTCGTTAATCTTTCCCGGCTCGTCTATTCTTCACGGCGCGCCCGGAAAGAGTATAAGCGCGCGTAACAGGGCCATCGAGGCGCGGCCGCTCGACAAGCGTCATTCTCTATCTATTATAAGTGAATGCACTTTTACGGTTTTCGGCCGGAATGCCTCGTGCACGCAGGAATTCTACTTTCATGCAACTACCGTGTTAATTCGGTCAGTGGGTCGCGGCAGGAGGTGCGAGGAGGAATCGGCGGCGGCGGCGGCGGACGAAGAGGAGGAATCGTGTTAGTCACCTGAATGCAAGCCTCGAGGTAATCCCGCTCGGACATTTCCTGGTCCTTCGCAGGGGGGACTTTTCCCCGTCGGCGCAACTCTTGCCTGGCGTCGTTCAAGTCAAAGATCGCCGCGGGATCCAGCCGGCCCTTGAGCACCAGGCCCGCCAGGTACTCAATGTAGTGCTGCCTGCGGGGGAAAAGTACCCAAGATTTTAGTCAGGCACCCACGGCACGCGGTTCCTCCCCCTCCCCCGCGCCTCCGCCGCGGCTTTACCTCGACCAGGTCGTTCCTGTAATGCTGCGGGTCGCGCCCGTACCAGTTCGCGGGCCGTTTCAGCCCGGCGCGTCGCACGCACGTTTCGAGATCGTCCACGTTTAGCAAGGGCAGCGGTTCCAGCTGCGTCAAACGGATCTTTCGAACTAGATACTCGACGTAATGAGTCCTGGGAGAGATACACGGGGGATCTCGTTAGCGTTCGACCTGGGCCCTGGGTGTAAGGGGGGCGGCTGGGGGGTTGAGGGCGGGAGATCGCTCGGGAGAGGCGCCCGGAATCGCCGCGAGATTGGGAGCGATAGCCCCCGATATACCTGCTCGCGCGTGAGCGAAATTCTAACGCGCGCGTCGCCGGAATGTAGGTACCACCCTGGAACCTCTCCCCCCCCCCCCCCGGCGAGAGATCGAAGGGTTTTGATTGCGAGGAATTACCGAGGTACCTTTTCGTTTGACGCGCGAAACTATATTCACATAAATAGTCCTGGTTACTTAGGGGGAAAAAGAAAGATATATATATATTTGTAATCTCGACCGATCGTTTCCGTAATAGAGTTCCTGTAATCAGAGCCTGGCCAGTTCTGGCGAAATTCCGCGAGGGAGGATATTTCTGCCTCTTTCTTTCTCCTTCCCTCTCTCTTTTCGCTTTCTCTTCCTTTGCTTCGGGAGCCAGAAATAGAAAAAACCAATCAAAAGCTGCCATCTGTTGATCGGACTCTGATAAACCGGACTCTATTCTGTAAGAGCCGCTAGCGACCTGTTGTAATCTGTAATTGGTGATACGACAGTAATCTCTCGAGACGCGTTAAAAATTCTTGATTCTTAGCTTTATAATCTGTTAACGCGGGTTTAAATTTTACAATAAACTTGTCACGTCTTGTCGCGAACGCCGAGTACCATCCGCCCTGCGACTGGGCTTACCTGCACAGACCGGCGTGGCCCTCGACGACGTCGGAATTGCAAACGGTGTCCACGACTCCGGTCGGTGTTTCCTTCTGCAGTTGCACCTTGCACCTACGCTCCCCGACCGGGCCCTGGGTGTCGTAGCCGATGCCGTTCTCTCGGAGCAACTGCTGCAGCTGCGCCGGCTCCTTGTCGCGAAGGTAGAAGAGGCAGTTGCGCGGATGATGGGCGTGCAGGCCCAGCTTGGCGCAATAAGGGCTGACCGCACATTTCGCCCCCATCATGAAAGCCTTGCCGCAACCGCAGCAGAACTCATATTTACACTGGCTGCACGTGAAATGCATGCAACCTATAAAAATTCACGAGCCCTCTTTTTTTCAGCGAGCTTCGAAAAAATGTTCCTGTGATATGCATATCGAATAATTTAGAAAAAATATCTCGCCCCATATTTTAAACTCATCCGAGATCGATAGAAAAAAAAATAATAACGCGGTATTAAAATGGTACGCGTATATTAAGATAATATTTGGAATCAACATTCATTAATTCTTGCATTACCATATTGTTTTTGTAAAAGCAACAACCACCGGTGGCGCGGTTTATATTTTGCAATTTTTATATGGTGATGGTTTCCTTTCAGAAATATTTATCGTCGAAGAAGGAAGAGTTGTTACGAGAGAGCAGTTTTTACAGAAGATATACAGATTACACTCGAAGTTTCGAACGGAAATTAAGCAATAAGATCCCATAGAGTGAAGAACGAAACCGAATAAACGTAAAATTATCTTCGCGCTGAAGCGTAGTAGTTATTATTACCTCCTCGAGACAGCGAATAACGGAACTTGCACTTAGGGCAGTCGATGCCATTGTCGGCCAGATGTTTGGCCAAACCCGCGGCTTGATTGTCGGGATCGTTCTCGTCCTTCCAGGCGGCAAATTTCTCGCACGAGATTCCCTCGTGTTGTTTTTCCCACTAAAAATACAGGAAACAAATTATTGCTTCGTCGTTCGACACAAGCGTCAACGGAATCGTACAAGTTTCGCACATACCGGTCTTCGGCAAGAGGCACAAGTGACAGATCGACAATCGGGACAGATTAAACGCTTGTGATGGGGATCGGCGTAAAATCCACTCGAACACTGAGAAATAATAAATCACACTTTCTCAAGTAGCGAGTTTGAAGACCGCCATGAAATAATTACCTGGATGCACCACTTAAAATTCGGATCCTGCATCAGAGTCCGGTCTCTGAGCTTCCTTTGGAAGAGCTCGTGGATCGGCGGGTCCAGCAGAGTCTTCAGCTGGATGTCCAGGTTGCTGAAGTACTCAAGAACCTCGTCTTCACCCGCGTCCTTCAGATTAGGCTCCTTGCAGTACGGACAAACGGCATCCGTGATGTTCCTGTCGCTGATCTGAATGGTGAAGTAATTCTTCGCGCATTCGTTGCAGCAGCGATGTGTGCACTTCAGCATGGACACTATCTAATTGGGAAAACATCGACAAGTGGAAATTAAAAAATAATATATATCTCTTAAGTATTCCAATAAAAAGTAAAATAAGATTTAGAAAATAAGACTCGCGAAAAAGAGTAGAGAAATTCAGAGAGAAATGATTAAAAGAAATAGCCACGCTCGTGTTTTGGTAATAACTAAAATTTCAAATTCACGGCCAACACACGAGGAAAAGTAAGGTGTAAAAATGTTTACAGGATTAACAACAGCTTATTCGACAGAATCTCGATTACGAGTAGAATTACAATTGTACGCGTTTCAACGCTATACCGCGTCTTCTTCGGCTTAAACTTAAATATACGTCACATGATAACATGCCGTAGAGAAAATTTACACATTCAAAACCCGTAAAATATTATGAATATAAAGGTTGATATTGCGTCAAGTTCAATCTTGTCCCGAGTGGCTAAGAAAGAAATGAGATACGAATATATTTTCCCCGAAAGCCACGTTTCCTTTCCAAAGTTAATCGAGGGATTTTACTGTTCGCACACAGTTCGTCAAATCCCTCGCCTTGACCGGACACTCACTTGGCTCATCGCAAAACGACCGGTGCACAGCTCGCACTCCTGCTGCAAGAAGGCCAGCGCCGCTTCCACGCTGGGGCATTCTTTCGCGGCCTGGAGCGCCTCGGCGTCCCCGAACTTGAGGGCCAGCAAACTTGCGGCGACCTCGGCCTCATCGTAATTCGCGGCTCGACCCTCCGCCAGGAGACGACGCGCTATTCTCTGCACACGTGACGGACATAAGATTGCTCCGGTATCGGCACGTACGCAATTTCCACGTATATGAAAAGGGAATCTTAGCCTCGTCTACAAATCTCGACCTAAGGTGGAACACTCGAGATCTATCAACGTAAACGTTGATCATTTACAGCAAGTCCGCGTGCGTGTAACTGTTAAACTTAAAGCGGCACTCTGGAATATTGTTGCGCAATGTCGACAATTACGCGCAATTCGCGTCTAAATTCAACAGAATTGCGGGAGATGAAACAAAGTGCTTTGTTGCTCAACAACTAAATCAGCAATTAAAAATACTTTGAAAGTAGGAAGTTTGAAATTTCTGCCATGCAAGAGAAAAGGAAGTAAAACCGCGCCAACATCTAGAAACGAGCTCTTTTTCACCTGACAAACGTAAGACTCGCGAAAAACGTGAGCCGAAACGTGGACATTTCGTCTACTCAACTGAAGATGATACGCGATTAATTCATATATTTATAATCGACGCTTACGCAGGACACGTCAAATGTTTTACATTTAAAGTGGGGGAATGTCCAATGTAATCTTTACTTCCTAAGTGATTAAACACGTTTTAGAAGATGCGTAACGTTTCTCTTCTCGACAGGCAAATTAGTCACGGCACAGTACTTACCCACGTCTTGTCACAATAAAATGATTAACCAGTTAAAGCGCGGTTAAAACATCGAGACAACACCTATCTGTTGCGTGCGATTTCCCACCCCCGCTTGACATTTCGAGCTGTTTGTAGACATTGGCCTGCCAACGGTGGAAAAGGCCGGTTCTTGGCGAACCTTCGCGGGGGCTTTTTTGGCAACTGACGTTTCTACGAGGGGGGGTCGTGTGTCACTTGGCAATTCTCGTCTACTGACCTCCCGCTCCGTTTTGGGAGATGCCTGTCTCCGGCGCCCGATGCTCTCCACGTGCGCCCTTACGGCGTTCTCTTCGCCCTCGAACCGACGGATGCAACTGGCTACGAGGGAGAACCGTTTCTTGGGCGCTCGCGCCCGATCCACCCCCTTTAACGTATCATCTCTCTCGATTTTTATCTCTTTGCTCCCTGTACTCGCCCTTCGACCTACCTTCGCGCGTTTCTCTCGCGACTCGTTACTCGTGATTATCTTCAGCGTACCGTTCTGCGCTATCGACTGATCTCTCGCCTCAGCTTCGCTCGCGCCCTCGAGCTTTGTCTCATTCTTCTTTGAATCGCTCTTTTCTGAATGGACGTCTCCCTTGGACTTTATACTCCGTTCTGTCTCCGTTGAAGACGCCGAATCTGTTTGAAGATTCTGAGAAACTTTTAATGCCTTTTCATTGATTCCCGCGTTTGTTTCCGGTCGAGATAATTCAATGACCGCAGAGGCGGCCTCCGTTGATGCCTTGCAATTACTTTCCCCATCTTCTTGTGTGACCTGAGAGCTGCTCTCTGTTCTCTTCGAAATGTTGGCTTCGTTGCCACTCGTTTCATCGTGTGTCATACCGTCGGCCTCCTTATCAGGCACTCGAAATTGTCCCGAAGTTTCGACCCGTTCATTCGCCTCCTCTTCCTCGGACGGTGGTTCTTCGTACACGTCCTCTTCCGCCGAATCTTCGAGCTCGCTCGACTCAATCTCCCGTTCGTCGAGCGAGTCTTCGGACGACGTGGAATTATGATCGTGGCTCTCCGTCTCGTACGAATAAGTGACGTCCTCACTTTCCTCGGACTCGCCCGTGCACTCTTCCTCAGACGCCGATATTTCAGACCTGATCTCATTTAGCGTTTTCTCCAACAACAACTCCGCGTCCGTGAACTCCTCGACGGAATTGTATTCCGAGTTATGATCAGAAATGTACTTCGCCGTTCCTGTGTCTTCGCCCTCTTCAGAATACTCGGAATCGGAGCTGAAAGCATCCGAGCTTTCCTCGATTGCGTTTTCGACTTCCAATTGTTTGCCAAGATCCGCGGGCGGATCGTTATGCCTCGAGTTCGACGCTTGTGAATTCTCGTTTAATTCCGATTCTATTGACTTAACTTTCGGAGGTTCTTCGGTTTCTTCACTCTCCACGGTACTCTCTTTAGCATTCTCCTCCAAGATTTGCTTGTCTTTCACATTTTCTGTAATTTCAATCGCCCTCCCGTTACTAGATTTAATTTGATTTCCCATTAGTTTGTTAGTATCCTTGGACTCAATTTTCCGCATGGCTGGCGGGTTCAATACGTTAGCTCTTTCCTGAATTTTTAAAGACACCTTCGAAACTGCTTGCGACATTACTGGCAATTTCGTTGACCCACTCTTTACCGTGTCAGTGACATTTATTTTACAAGTATTTGATGAGACAGTGTCTGCAGATTGTGTGACTTTTCGTTGCACCAAAACGGGTATTTTTGACGGCGAGAATGTTTTCGGTTTTAAATTATCTTTCTTCGTTTTGACTGGAACTCTATCACCATTCGAGATTTCAGTTTTGTGATTTATATTCTTTATTGCTTGATTTTCGAAAACTCCCGCTTTTTTAATACCTTTCGAGCCCGTCGGGTTTTTATTTTCAACCTCGATATTTTTCTTATCTTCAATATTTTTGTTTTTAGAATATTCGAGCGTACTCTTTTTAGAATTTTCCGATTTATTTCCATTATATTTTTTAACAATAGGCAATTTGGTTTGCGATTCGGGATTGGTCGCATTGTTAACTATCGATATTTTTTCCGTACCGGACGTAGAAACCTTTTTATTATCATTTACCCTGATACTTCCCGTAGCTTTTTGCACGCTGATATTATTTAATGGCTGTTTAACAGCTTTGTCCAGCATTTCCGGCGGTGAAAACGTTTTAGGTTTTAAATTATCTTCTGCCATTTTTATCACAATTTTCTCGCCAATAATCGACTTATCATTACCGCCTGTCCCGATACGCGTGGACTTTAAGGGTTCTTTAATTCGCGATTCATCGGATTGCGCCGCTCGATTCGAGCTTTTAGCAATCTCGCCAGCCGTTGCTTTCGCTTTTGTCACGCTCGCGCTGTACGGACTTGCGCTTTTCCACGCTAAATTCTTCCTCGGAACGCTACCTGATTTTTTCACTATTTTAACGGGCGACTTTCTTCGGACGATCTTTTTAAGAGGCGATCTCGATCTGTACTTCACGACGACGGGCTTTGCAATTACGCTTTTACGAGATTGATTTACTTGCTCTGTATTTTTTTCTGTCGCGCTTTCGTTACCCGATAATTTCGACGACGCCGGCTCAACCCGTTCGTTACGCGCGACGATTAAAATTCCGTCCCCGGACACGGCGTCTCTCGCGTTCTCCCCGCCGATCGTATCGAAGCCTTCGATCTCGCGCTCGACGATACCCGCGATATCTTTTACCGGCGCGCAATCGTTTACCGTTGTTACCGGCGATTCCGATATCTTTATTTCAAAGGTGTCAGGTATTCCGGGCGTCACGTCGCTGACATTCGCTATAATAGGATCCGGGAGAGAGTCTTTGTTGACTGTTGAAGCAATATTTCTCCCCTCGGTCGGCGCTGCGAAGAATATATTGAAATTTTTAAGCGCATGTAAGATGTTCCTTGTTGTTGAATTTGACGTTTGCGCGTCCTGTCTCCTGTCGTCGCGAGATTGAGAAACTTTATCCTCGAGATAAGGTTCCTCATCGCGTTCCACGGGATACGAAATACTTTTTGTCGATTCTAAGGGAGGACCGTGTTCGACAGACAACGGGGGAGACGTGTTATCCGACGTATTACCGTTCGATAACTCGCGTAACTGTGCATTTTCGTCGGGGGGCTTGTTAATATTTTCAGCGAGGTTTCCATCGACATTAAGTTTCGGAGCTTCAGGAATAGGTACCGTAGGTGCTACTTCGCTATCCTCTGAAATTTTAACGCCCTTAGAAGTTTCGGGGTCGTCACAGCTGCTCGATATTTCAAGCTGCGAAGTATTTTCGGGGCAAGTATCGACTCGGACATTATTTTTTGAGAAAGAGGGTGGCGTTATGCTCGCGTGCGTTACGCGATTGCGCGAGAGTGCAATTATTTCCTGATTATTTGTCGGAAGGAATGAGTCATCCTGATTCGTAACATTCTGCGAATCCGTCAAGGATGGCACGTCTGCAGTCCGCTCGATCATCGAACCGTCAGTCTCCGCCAAGGCGAGTGCAATTTCCTCCCCTTGATCACGCGGATTGTTTAAATCCATTTCCTCGGGGGCACGCGAGTGTGTTAATGGCGGTGGGATATTTTCATCGGATCGCGATTGAGTAATGGATAAATCATTGGTCGTATTTTGCTCAACGGGCACGTTTTCTTTCAGCGTAGTTTCATTTTTATCGTCGCTCGCGGGAGTGTGATATGTGACCGAAATTGTCTGTTCTACTTTTTCCGAAACGTGCACCGCATTTTTCGGAACGATCGGCTTTGTATCATTTTTATCATGACGCAATGTCGTTCCGTGATTATCGAATATTTCGACGGGCGGTGATTTAACGTCGGCAGAATGATCGGGTACTTTCGCGGCAGATGAAATTGACGAGATCGGCGAAGCTGATGTGGGAACATGCGCGTGAGATGAATCGCCCGACTGTCGTTCGTCTCGTTTGTTAATATCCTGTTTGCTCGCCGGTTGCGTATTAGTCGCGTTCATTGTTATTTCGTAAACAGGCGGATGATCAGCGTTAGAATTATGCACGATCGGGTCACTTGGCGGGACATTCGTTTCCGTCGTCGATCGACAGGCGGATCGTCCCGCGTTAGAATCGTTTATTGAAGCTAATGAACTTTCGCCCGGCGACGAGTCACTTTTTAGAAGTGGCTCAATGTTATCAACGAGAAGCTTTTCATGAGATGCATTTTCGGAAGAGCTTTCCGCTTCCTTTGATGATGACGATGACGTATCAGTCGAGCGATCGCCGGATGCGACTGTAAGCTCGGGAGGTTCGTGGGCGACAAATTGATCATGCGCCGAGGATGCTGTTAACGGCCGCACGTGAGAGCTCGATGATTCACCTGGATGCATCTCCACAGCTGATCTCGCCCTCGATTCCGCCTCGTCCTCGACAGATCTGTCTTCGTTATTTCTCACGGGCGCGTCAACTATCCCTAAAGAATTCTTACGTGAATGCATTTCCCCGCCGACGTCCGTTCGCGACACTTCGGCCACTCCTACGCTCGTCGCTGCCGCTTCGCTCGTAGTCTGCGACTCTTCGGGATTGTCTTTGCCCATTAAGTCCACCGAATCGGAAAACGTTTCGGATGTCAGATCCGTTGCGATGTTAGTTTGCGAAATGTTAGACTGGTTCGCGTCTGTACGTACCGATCTGACATCCTGATGCTGTTGCTTGATGTCCGGGACGCTCGACCGGGATTTTGCCATCCGAGAATCCGGAAGTTTAGGTCTATCGATCTTCTTATCGGTGCTCTTGCTGCGTCTCAATTTTTCGGGGCTTCCGTCTGGACGCCTACCCTGTCGATCCTGTTCCCGAAGCGACTGCGATTCAGTTTTTTCCCCAAGCACGGAGACAGGCGGTTCTTCGTCAACGTTCCTCGGTGCAACGGCTGTTGTCGCCGAGTCCCGAGGAGCGTCGATGTCGTTGATCCCCGCCTCAGACACGCCGGTTTCGGGCTCGTCCGTCTTCATATTGCGCAAAGTATTTAATCGGTTCATGAGCTGCACGTCGGAAGTTGCGTTGACGTCGCCTTTCCCGGGCGACAGCATTTGCATCGCAGCTATGAACGGCGTCAAAAACTGCTCCGGCAGCGATTTCACGGCGGACAGCAGAGTCTCCACCGCCACGGCGTGCGGCTCGTCGTTCCGCCTGGGGATTTCCCTCGTGACACGTACATCAGATTGTTCCCGCGCGGAAAGATCCCTCTCGGATGCACCCGCGACTACTTTCTCCGTGTCCGCGACCGGGGCTTCGTCCCGCGATGGCGTTTGCGGCGATGTATCGGCTCGTTTGGGAGCACTCGAATTCTGAAAAGAGACACCGAGTGCGCCGCTCGATTCCGCAGACTTCCCAACTTCGACGAGTGACTCGCTGTTCCCCGTCGCGGTGCCCCGTCCTACCGTAGAGGGTAATTCAGGGCCACTCCAAGTTTCCTGGCGCGTACAAGTGGGCTGACCCGGTTCCGTATTATTCGTTGTGTCAAGCGCAGAAGTTCCGCGCGATGAGGATACTTCAACTCCGACGTTATTTGGCGATAATCTTTCCTGTCCCTGCGAATCCGTAACTTCCGTCGCCACTACAGCTTCGTCGATCGATGCCGTCGAGGTGCCGGCACGCGTCTCTCTCGCGCTCTCGCGCGACCGCGTGGTCCGTTTCGCCCCGACGTCGTCGCTTTCACTTTTCCGACCAGCGGACTTTGACAGCTCGGTCGCGGTAATTCGCACAGCAGCTTCGTCGGTGTCGATCGCCGACGGTTCTCCGGTTCTCAAACGATCGGCATTGTCAATTTTCGAGGAGCGTTCAGGCGCGCGTGAGGAGTCCATTGCACTTGTCCTCGCGAGATCATCGACCGTGGCTGCGGGAATTTTCGTGGGCAACGCGGCGTCTACTTGGTCCAGGCCTTCTGTCGGCTTCGTAGCGTTCAACGAGTACTTTGAGTCGTCCCGCGAATCTACGGTCGCCTGCTCTTGCCGCGTGATCGCAAGATCGCTCGGCTCCGCTACGTCGGGCGCTCGTTGTACGGCCCTTGGGACCAGATTTGCATCGATTAGAACAGTGGGCACATCAGAGCGGTCGTACAGATTATCAGACTTATTATTACCCAATTTGTTCGGGGGATCTTTCTCGTGTCGCCAGTTATCGGTCAGTTCTCTGAGGGCCGCCAGTTGCTTTTGAAAGTCGGCCTGCAACGCCACGAAATGATCAACAATTGGTGACATTACCTGCTTCTGCGCCTCCGTATCGGACACATTCGGAACTTGTTCCATGGGACCGATTCCCGTCCCGCCGACCGCACCCGCTGCGTCTGCGGCAGAAAGAAAGATCGGTGCATGATCGACGGTCTTCGCTTCTTCCTCGAGCATTCATTCGCAACTATTTTATAAACGTAACGAAACAAACGTAACTAATCTCTCGCTTTAATATATTTTTCTACTGCGAGAGGAGCGAACGGTTTCATAGCAAACTATGTAATAAGCAACGAGCAACAATACAATTTTCTACTCCCGGCTGCATATAAACTAAGTTTTAGATAAAATAATATTGTCAAGTATCCAACTATCGAAAACATTGAGCGCTCTCATGTTCGCATATCAGAAGCTTTCACTGACCTCTGTGCGGTGCAGCCTCCTCATTTTCCACCCCGACCGGAGGACCCCAGATCCTCATTAAAAAAGGCTTGAGCTGATTCTTCTGCAGCTCGAGCAGAGTGGCGTCCTCGATACCGGCGTTATTGTCGAGAGCTCTGACAACGTCCGCGAGCGCGAAGTTACCCCTTCCCATGATCTGTTCGCACTGCCGAATCGAAAGGGAACGAGAAATCAGTATCGACCGAAGTCAACTCTCGTCGAGAGTTTATTAGATCTTTCCCTCGCACGCACTTTCTGCTGCCTGCGTTGAATCGCCGTCGCGACTGCGTTCCACATGTCACCCTTGACAGATCGCAGGGCCTCTTTCGCCTCGGCCGGCGACAGCGCGCCGATGCTGTTCTCCTTCAATTCCTTGCCCTGCGCGGTCACCAGGACCTGCACTGTCTCCACCAGATGCGGCCACTGCGTCTGAAGCCACTCGATCGGATTCGGTGCGCCTTGCGCCAACGCGACCTGGACATCGTCGGTCGTGAATCCCTGCTTCTCGGCCTCCCGCAGGATCTCCACTATCTCCAATCCTTGGCGCGTCAACGTGGAGATCCCCTGGCTGGCGCTGGAACCTGCCTCCGCGTATCTCGGTAGGCTGGGTTCCTAAAACCGGCAGAAGTACGTTGCCGTTAACGATCGTCTCGTCGAAAACTGAGCAAAAAGCACCAGACTGCACAATCATTGGAACAGTGTTACTTGGCTAAACACAATTGCAGGGGTTCCGCTGTCGCAGATATCTTTAATCGTGTTAAGCGCGTGCCTAAATCAATACCAGGACTAGCAGCAGCTGTAAACGTATTGCACAAATAAGCATAATAAATGTACGAGTAAGAGCGATCTATTTAAGCGGTTGGAGGATGCTAAGAAAAAAATATCCTGCCTACGTTCACACCGAGGCTAATTATCGCGACGGTTGGATCGGGGATGACGAGGTGTAACATAAAAATCCGTCAGGCTTGAGTTCGTGAGCGAGTTTACCCTGGAACGATAATAGAGGTGAGTCGAGTCGAGGGAGTTTCTTCTGGTCCGCTCTCTGCTTCTCTGCCCGGTTATCAGCTGCTGAAGATACTGTTCCTGCAACGCACGAGGATACAAATCGGGACTGTTTGCGAATCCGGTTTGTTCCTGAAACAAATGCTCCGTCTTGTTCCTTCATTAGCACGCACAAACGCGAGCGATCGTGTTAACGCGGAGGATGCGTTATTTCTCCTATTTCTCCCCGCAGAACACTTAACTATCGATAATCGGCCACAAACTTCCGATTGCTCTTATCCAACATTTAATTGCGCTTGAATTTATTCGCAAGTCTATTCACAACTTTTCGCTCACCTCGCCGTCGCTATCGTCGTAATACAAGTAACTCTTTGATGTCGCTACCGACGCGGATCTTCCGAGAGTCCCTTTTGCAGGGAGACAGTCGTAAGTCTAAAATATTTTAATATAAAATTCATTTCACCCTCCATTTAATCTTTTGTTGATATAATCTTTTCGTATTCGTTACAACATTTTCGCGACCATAAATAATGTCGCACTTATACAATTCTTACTTGGGTCGAGATACTTTGCGGCGGAGGAGACGTTCCCGTGGATACCGAATGGCCCTTCGAAAGTTTTCCTCCAATCTTTTCCTCGCGCGACGTCGCGTTTGCGTCCGCCTGGGAAGTGCTCGCAATCGAAGAAGACGTTAACGCCGAGGACGATGCTTCTAACGACAAGTTCTCATCGACCGGCAATGTCGCGTCTGTCGACGCTTCTTTCGCTTGCGAGGCTACAGCCGTGAGCGTAGCTTTTGAGTTCTCTACGAGAGAATCGTTCTCTGGAACAATCGCTTCTGAAAATCACAAATTTTCCCCATGACTCAGTGCGATTGCGAATTATTCGTAGCTAAATTCTGAGTATGTAAATTTGATTGATGCCACTGTGTACTTTTCGTGTATCGTCTTCCTCAAGGTATTTTTTGTGGAAATGTGCATGATAATTTCTATCGTTCCTGCAGTCTTTGTGTATGTACAAGATTTAAATTTGTTAGTGACGTATCGCACGTACGAAACTCTTGTCTCTGCTTAATCAGTATTTAATTTGAAACATCTACTAATTTGCTAATCTATAGTATTTGTAACAACCGATGCAAATATATGTCTAAAATGTATAGCATGCCGCTTGCAATTGTCACAATTAATATTAGTATTTGATATTAGTAATCTAGTGCACTTATATCCGATAAACCGAAACTGGTACACAAAGTGTCGACGGACAGTTTTAAAGGGAATACATTTTAACAAATTTTACTATTGCAAAACTTTTTTTTAGTTCATACTAAATAAATCCTTTGCCGCTGACGCGTTTCAGCGTCGTCGGGCCAAATGCTTTGACAGTGATTTCCATCGATGGTCTGCCCCGCGGAATAAAGGAACATATGCCAAATGCACGCTCGTGCTTGAAACCGTCGCATCGCTTGAATGAATAACGCCTCAGACATGAACGGTAGATGGTCGAATTTCAAATACGACTATGCATTTGGTGCTGTTGCAGCGTTGTACGAAAAACAGTTTCCATGTCTCTTTATTATTCATCCAAGGGAATACATCGAAGGTGGAGAATAACCAGTTGTACGGCTTGTGTCGCTTTACGTAAAAATAAAAAAAAGGAGAGAGAGAGAGAAAGAGAGACCGAAAGAGAGAAAGAGAGACGTGTAGAAATGTAATCCGGGTCATCCGCATTTCTGGACAGGAAATACGCGGGTGGGCATCACATAGAATGGAAGCGTCACGCGAGACGTCACTTGGACAACTTGGTACCGAAGGAAAAGCTGATTTTGCGCTTCGGTCTACCTTTATTCTTGACGGATCCGCTGTCGCCGCTCTCTTCGCTGTTGGAGATCTTCTTGGTCCGCTTCTCGGGTTCGCGATTGGGATCGCCGACGCTGCTCGACGTCTCGTTCTTCGCTCGCGGCTCGACCGGCCCGGCCACGGGGTCATCGGTGCTCGGTGGCAGAGCGCTGCTCCTCGTCTTGCAGCAAACCACGCAGACGCGATCGTTGAGCTTGTTGATGAAGGTGCAATGCTCGCAGGCCCATTCCTCTTTCGGAATTTCCATCTCGCCGGGTGCGATTTTCTTAGATAACGCACTCGTACCTTCGACCGTGTCTCTCTTTACCGTCTTTGGTTCCTTCTGAGATGCCCGCTCCTGCTGCTGCTGCTTCGTCTCAGCGTTGTCCTGTTTCTTCTGTTGAGCCTCGGCGGCTCGTGTCGGATCCTTCGACTGGTCCTTATCGATCGATCGCTGACGATCTGTAACCTGAAGATCACCTATCGTTTCCGGTAAATCCCGTTCTTCCTTGTCCCCCTGTTTTCGCATCGGCATTTCCTTGGAGGGCGTTTTTCTAAGACCTTGATTGTCGGATTCGAGCGAGGATCTGCCGGAACTTCGTTTGTTCGAGGTCCGGTCGAGATCGTCAAGAGTGTCTTTTCGCCGGAACGACTCTCTTCTCGCGAGGAGCTCGCGCTCTCGCGAGACGTCGCGCAATTGTTGTTCTCTTCTTGTTGAGCGTGATTCGACCTCGTCCATGTTCGCGCGATCCATATCTGAATGTCCTCCTTGAGAAGACTGTCTTTCCAGGAGGCGCGTTCTTTCTCCAGCCGTTCTTTTCGGGGAAGTTACGTCTCGGGAAGGAGTCTTTCTGATCTGGCCGTCGCTCTCGAAGGACGATCTGCGAGAATCGCGACGAGCGGAGGATCGTTCCAGGTCGTCCAGCATGATGTCCCTTCGTAGGGACGACGCCCTCTTTAAAGCGTTCTCCACCCTCTCGAAGTGATCGTCAGACGAGCTCGTAACTCGTGCTCGACCTGGTGTGTTAACTCTTCGATCAGAGGACTCGTCGTCGGTACTTCGCCTTCGGCGGTCGCGATAAGTTCCGTTTTGAATGCGATCCAGCCGAGGATCCGTCTTGGAGGCCGAGCGGTCATCGTTGCTGTATCGCCGTCCAGAAGAGATAGTGTTGCTTTTTTCAAGTTCGTCACAGTTTCGCGAGGATGTCGGATATCGTTTACTGGACGGACTTTCGGACCATTGGTCCTCGTTATTCATCGTTCTCTCCTCGGATCTTAAGCCCCTGGAAAACAAAAGCAATCGTCAAGTCGTGAACATGATCGCGCATAAAATATACATTGATAAAACTAAATTTATCTCGCAAAAATTAAAATTCTATAAAATTATTTTAAAAAAACATTAATTATTCCTAACGAGATCAATAAAGTATACCTTAATATCAGTTGCCAAGTTGTGATATCAAAGATTACGGAAACATTATCGTCAGTAACACAGTTGGTCGATAAAATTGTTCGAGCCAAGAGTTCTTTAAAACGCCTATACATATTTATTCATTAAGTCTTGTGAACATTTTTCTAACGTATTGATCACAGCATATGATAATCATTGTGGCATCGATACTTTTTAAATATCGTTTAGGTCTTAATTTGCGGAGGAAAATTATTTTCCCCTCAATCTATCTCAGAGTTTCCCCACTTACTCTCGTCGGCCTCTGGAGACGAGGCTTCTGGCATCTTCGTCATGGTAGCCTCGTTGTCGTATGCTTCTGGGAACGCTGCCGCGTCTACTTCTGGATCCACGGGAAAGTCTGTCGTCGATATCGGACTCGTCGGAGTTCTCGGAGCTTGCGTCCGACGGTGACCCGGGTGACCTCTTCGATCGCGATCTCGAAGCGTAAGACTTCCTGGATTTCAGGCTGGGAGACGGAGACGCCGGTCTCGATCTCCTGCTGGATTTCACGCTCCTGGCCGGACTGTGTCCTCTAGAAAGAGATCCCGGATAATGCGGAGGTAGCATTTGCGCTGACGGATAGCCCACGGGGTATCCCCACGCGTTTGGATGATGCAGGCTCACGGCGGAGCCTCCCATCGACATATCCCAGGAGTTGGCCGGCGGGTACCACATCACCGGCATACCGCCGGGCCCGAGATGCGCCATCGATTGGGCCTGAAACAATTTTATCTATCACGAATCTTCCTGCGCGCGTCAGCTTTAAAGATTTATGCATTGTGTTTTCAGGGTTGGGGGAGTAACTCGTTACTCGTAACGAAGTTACAGTTACTTTCTTTTTTTTTAGCAACTCTAACTCAACTTCGTTACTTTCTCTCCGTCTGTAACTGTAACTTACACTCGGTTACATTAATAATTACTTCATATATATTTTAAACCTCCACAGATCGCATTAGGCCTTGCGTTTGCGCATAAACACCTTCGTCGACACTTTACAATTCAAATGCAGATTTGATATTTTTATTTTCATTGCGAGAAAGTAACTGCAAGGTAACGATTCGTTACTTTTTGAGCAACTGTAGTTACATTTTTAGCGAAAAAAAAACTGCAACTAGATATTTTTATAAAGTAACTTCCTCAACCCCGATTGTTTTAAATACAATGTCTTTTTTAAGCATTTCAGAGATAACTCGAAGAAGAAAAATTAATAAAGGTATAGGATCGATAGTAAAAATAGAATTAACAACATTTGATTGAGAATACCTGATGCATTCCCGGGTTCCACATATGAGCAGCAGTCAAGTCGCAAACGCTGGCTGATTGTATCATGGTTCTGGGAGGCGGGGGTGGAAGCGGCGGTGCCGGTTTCGGACTGCCTATGCCGAGTGGTCTTCCACTCAACGTATCCCTTGTATCAGCGGACGGGTGTCGTCGCCTGTTCGCGTCTTGAGCCCTCATTACCTCCTGATACTTTCTGTATCTCTCCTGGAATTTCACTAACTTTTAATTTCGCTTTTTACAATAGAGAATAAAACTGTCAACGACACAGCGAACGGCCGACGACGAAGCAATCGCGGAAGAATGCGTCTAAAATTATTAAAAATCGAAATGATTTCACGAATACACGTGATAATTTATTTGAATAACAAATAAAAACAAGTTAAATTTCGAGATTTAATCAGTAAATAATCTGTCACTTTTCACTTTATTTTGTTTCTTTAATAAGATACAAAAATCGGTAATTTTTGAGAACTTCTCTGTTCATAGATATATTTTATAATCTTAGCGATCTTCCAGATTCAATTTCTTGCGTTGAAAAGGTGTCATTGGTTCTTTAACTAAAGCCAACGGCGCACGATACTATTTTTCCTGCTGAAGTACTTACGCAAACCAACAAGGATGCAGAGTTCCAGATCAGGCGACTTAAGGCTAAATCCTGATTGGCTCTCGTAAGCAATCCGGTAGGAAACATAGTATCGTTCGCCGTTGGCTTAAGTTAACGTAATTTTAGATAATATTATAACTTTCCTTACCTGTAGAGTAGTCATTTTATCTGTTCCTGATCCAGTATCGTTGGAAGATGCGTTTAAAGTACTCGTAGATTTCGATACTCTTGCGCTCGAGTCCGGCGGCGGTTTCGTATTGGAAAAATTGCGCTTCAAGCTCCCGACCTTGTCGAGCAAAGGGAGTTGCGCAGATCCTTTGGCTAGCGCCGATTTAGCCTAAGCGCGAAACTTCAACTTAATTACATATCGTGGATGTAAGGAGGGATCGACACTCGGAATATGCCGTCGAGGACTCTAGACGTCCGTTTGTGAGGCAGCGCTGATATTGTTATTGAAAAAAAAAGACCAGATCAAGTTTAGACAATTATGATCGTGGCGAATGTTAAGGCTCTCCTCTAGAAGCAGAGTCTTCTAAAAAAAACAGCCTTGAAAAAGAACAAATAAATAAATAAATATGCAAGTTGGCTTCTCTCTGGATATCAGTGCATCAAGAATATTACGAACAAAAATCTTATAAATAATACGCCGTTAAGAAAAAAAAAACTTTATCATTTTGTGAGCGTGGCAGGTTCAAGCAGTTGGATGGATGGCCCGTCTATGCTGAAAAGAAGGCGGGGTACACCGAGTGTAAAAAATAAGTCGTAGTGGTACCACCGTAACGGTACCGGACGTACGGAGCGGTACGGAGTGGCCGATAAAAGAACGTAATCGTATGCGAGAATGATCGTGTTCACCGTGTTCACCGTAGCCTGCCATATTCACCATATTCACTCGACAGAGATCGTCCGCGGTGAAAATGATCCGATTACACGACACGACAAATGCCCGGCATTAAAACGGCGCCGACGCGCCACGTTCGTCTTTTCCGCGTCATTACGTCAGCGACAGAGCTGGAAGAGAGAACGGGTTCAGTGAATACGGCATCAGTGTCTTGCGGTAACATGGTGTATTAGAAAGCAATGTCAACATGTACAATAAAATCTGAACGTAAAATAGAATCTCGATGTAGAACAATATCAACGATCATTTAAAGCTCGCAGGGGCAGTAACATCTAAGAAACGCCTCGGTGTGACGTTTTTGAGTAAAAGCCACGTCGTCTCGACAACGTCAAAAGTGAATGAGAGAGAGAGAGAGAGAAGGAGAGAGAAAGAGAGTCAGTGTTCAGCGACCCGACTCCGTGAACACCCGACGCGCGACGGAGACGAGGTCGGATTTGGCGATAAACAGCTCCCGTGACCCGGAGTTAGTCACAGATCCAATCTTGGCGAGCGTCGCCAAGAAACAGACCGCTTGATCGCGACAACTCATTGGCCGCATAGTGCAACCTGATCTCCATCGAGCTCGAGTGATCCCGAAGCGATCCTTGGGCGCGCGGACGCTGAGGGACGTCGAGGACTTATACGGCCGACGAATGCTCGACGTCGGTGCCTGGAAGAAGAGATTCACGAGCAGTCGAGAGGGCTCAGGCCAGGACGCAGCCTACCTGAGTGGTCTTGCGATTCCTCCGTGGCGGCGGCACCGGCGGAGGATTCAACAGGTTCTCCCCCTTCGGCGGTAGCGGCGGTCTGCTTCTGCTCGCGTGGTCGGTCAGGATCCTTCTGCGGACGTGGCCTCTCCGCTTCGGGTGCTTGTGGTTCATGTCGTCGCAGGCCTCGCAGAAGTTCTCGTTGCACGTGTCGCAACGCGCGAACACGTTCTCGGTGCCGCACAGGGCGCACTTACCGACATTCGATTGGGGCGTCGAGGGTTTCTGGGCTTGCGGTCGGGTCGGAAACTCGATGATCTCGTAGTCGGGGTCACCACAGTCCCCGGAGAGCGACGGCGGCGGGATCTTCGGGGGCGTCGGCGGTCGATGATGCTGCTGCTCTGCTTCCCGCTGCTGCTGCTGCGCCTATTTTTTTTTTCATCCGAGAAATTTATTCAGAGATCAATGTTGCGTCGACACGAACAGATAAGTTCATTGTAAGTGACACGAATTATTTCGGCAAATATGTATATCAGCATCTTTTTGTTTTCCCACAGCAATTATAAATAAAAATTAGAAACACAACCGAGAGAGAAACTTACCATGACCCAATGGGGCATGGATCTTGCCATTCGCAACTTGGTGGACGGATTCGATATGGCCATCGGTCGCCATCTTTCAGCTCCCGGGTTCTATGCAATAACAACAGAGCTTATTAATTTCTTTTTTCAGGATCATAGGTGATTTATTCCAAAAACATGCAAGAGGCAACGGGTGCATCTCCGTTGAGCCCGTATCAGACTGCGAGTTGACATTGAGATTAGGTTGCCATTTGACAAATCGGAGTAAAGTTCACTAATCTCAAGTTTAGTGACTTTTACTCGAATTGGTCTAATTACAATCTAATCTCAATCTCAATCCCGAGTCTGATACGGGCTTCATGCTGTTGTTGCACTTATAACAATCTCTGAACAAAATTGCATTTACGATAATTGCAAAATGCTTTTGCACGCGTAAGATACGTGTTAGGGACAAAAAATTATTATAGTTAAGTAGATTAAAAATACTTAAATAGAGATTAAAAAAGTAAATCTAGTAATCGCAATATAACACGGAAAAGACCGCGGCAACGCTTCGTTAAAGAGTGTCGAGGGGCCTAGGGCGACTTCGAAGAGCTGTCTCTTTCTCTCTCTGGCAGCTTTCTACCGCTATAGCAAAGTGCCAAAAGTGAATTGATGTCATCGCACCTTGGGCTCGCGCGCGCCCGAAGCCTAAATAATTTCGGCGTCGTGCCGCGTAAGCGAGATTGTGCATGTGGGCACCGTCGCGGGAAAGCGTGACGTCAGGACGGTGATCCACCGCCGGAAGCTGGACCGTCCGCGTCTATTTTTGCGGCCGGGAAAAAGCGTGTTCCGCGTCTAGAAATAACACCGAGCCGCGTGGCGCGCGACACTTTATATATGTTTTTTCTTCCAGGGCATGGGTGACACCGATGACATTTTTCCTCCTACGCGAAATATCGAACGCAATTAATGTTGATTTCGAGAGACACTTTGGGTCATTTTAGGTCTTTAGATAGAATGTAACTGATGAAAAGGCAGACGACCTAAATAAATCGATTTCAGAAATACCTGGCATGTGTATTTATTTATCGAGATCTCGTTCCCGACCCACCTGTCCTGTTGCGTCCTTTATTGATTAGCAACAGCTTGTCGAGTAATTTGATCAATTGATAACGTCCACGCGATCCAAAACGGGACAACGGAAATAAACGTATGCCCGCGCCGTGAAAAGCTTTCGCTCGAGGGCCGCGACGAGACGGGAGTTAGAGCTTCTTGAATTAGAGCCGTTCGTATATCTTTAGAACGTTCACTCTTCTGTTCTTCTTGTAGCACAAATTTTTCTCTATTTTTATTTCTATTTCACGCGACAGAGAAATCCGCGATAAATCCACGGAGGTGTGTACGCACGGTGTGCCGATAATAATTTATAATCTTCTCGTCGAGACTCATGGCGTAGCATCATAAAGTTGAAAGAGAGTCAAAATATCATTTACGTGCACGAAATCGAATAAAGATAGCACGTATCACATTCATCCTATTTATTTACTGTGACACTTTTCCCTCACAATTATCGTTCTCCGGTTACCCAGGTATTTTGTCCCAAGGCGCGACGGGGTAAAAGAAAGAACCAGAAAATGCAAATCGAGCGTACATCGCAAAACTATTTCTCGTTGAGATTGCGTACGACCGTGCAAGCTGGAAATCATCCAACTTCTAGTTTATCCGCGAGAATTTCTATCCGCGAACTTCTTTCACGCTCAGACACGCCTCGCATTTTATTCGCGTTTGTAGTTTAGGTGGTTTAGCTGCCAGACCACCAGATGCAATTTGAAGATCCGTTTATGCTTTCGTCACACTTCCGGCGGCGATGCGCGGTATCGCATAGTTACGGAATAATTAGACAATGGTTAGCATGCGAGGCGCAATCCGGTAAGGGATCTCGAACCGGAAGTAACTGTCACAGTCGGAACACGGAGCTACAAGTTACAGATAACATATATGCGCTAATTCGCAAGCCTAACTTTCCGCGCAGCAGTAGTGTGAGAAGCAGATCCTGCTTTATCTTTCGTTACGTTGTTCCAATAGTCGCTGGTACCCGCATAGGGTAGATGCATGAATATCGCACCGCTGGTAAATTGCGAGGCAACGACGTGGATTTTAGACGCAACGCATTGAATTATCTTCCAAGTGCATTCGCCTTTCTGTCTTTTTCAATTAAATCGCAACATTTTTTTTTAACATTTACCCGAAAATGGAAGGATCTAAAATTTAAGGGTCTCTCACTCGCTCCCGTATAGAAGCTCGAGAAAATCTGTCTAATATAATATCACAATTAAATCGCCCTCCCGCAGGAAGGACTTTTTAATTATATTCTTATTTACATATCTTTAGAAAAATTCGATTATTCGCCTTTTAAAAACAACGTTAGCAACTGCCTGCCGCGACGCGCGCGTGATCGCGCGAACGGGCGTTCGTTGTTCGATATCAGATACTCAAAGAGGTGCAACGTAATCTCGTCGGTCCTATCGCGCATCAGAAAATGCACCCTCGTGCACTGCTGCATCCACGTCGTGCCTCACGGACAGAGTTAAATGTACGCGCCGTGCGCACTCCAAGTCGATGCACCATGCGAGCTCCGATTTAGACGATCCGTATTCACGGCCGACCTATTGTCACGTCGCAGACCGTTTCGTGGACCACGTCGACAAAGCATCGAAATCTTGGGGGAATTGGCCGGCAATGCTTTCCTATTAACGGCTTCTTTCGTCCGGAATATTCCTCGTTGTAGAAAACGTCGCTCGCGAAGCGACCCTACATCGTTTAATCTTTCGAAACGTGTGGTACCACGTCAATTTGTCCTTGTTGCGAGCGGAACATCCCTTATCCTCTCTTAATTAAGAGGAGGACAAATGGCGTCAGCGCGATACAGAATACCGTTACGGAAGTCCTCAAGGCGGAAGCTGCACCGGGGGTTGCACTCGGAACGAATGTCGCACTCACGTTCATGTGGGACACCTCGCCGGGGGCTTGACTTTTCCGGTTTTTCTCGGGAACTGGTCCGCACGGCACTGGGCCCTGTCTCCGACGTTGGCTTGGACGGCGCTGTTCGTCCGCGGGCGGCCGTTGCACATCGCCGCCGAAATCTATTTCCGTAACGCCGCGTCTGCTGGACCGCTGCCACCGTTCCCGCCGCGGTCTCCTCGTTCGCGTAAATATATCGCGGTGCTCGGCTGTGTGCGCGCAGCTTAGACCCGGTATCGCTTTAGAAACTACAGCTACGTCCGTCTCATTTCGAGCGAAAACAATGGCCACTCTTTTCCTTAGTTCGTCAGACAGGCGGATATTTAGATGATGTTTACAGCTCGTGGTTTCCAATATTTCAGTTGATAAAATTTGAATTAAAATTCCAGGGAAGTCTAAGGACTCGTTTTCAAGAACACAATTATTATATATTTCAAAAATTAAAAAAAGTGTCAGGAGGAGGAAGAAACGTTTACAGTTACGTCTGTTCCGCTCCAGATAAGAATGTTCAATGACTTTGGAGTTTTTGGACAGGAAGATATTCGATGTGAGATGTGTTTGCAATTTATCTTGATTCCTAATAGATTTTTTAACTAATAATATTCAAATTAAAGGTCTAAGAAAATCGTAAGAGTAATTTTAATATATACACTTATATTGGAGATTAACAAATTTGTAAGGAAAAAAGAATGCAATTATTAATATACTAGTATATATTAAGTATATTTAAAAAATTTTAAAAAGTGTCAGGAGTAGGAAAAAACGTTTACAGTTATATCTGTTTCGCTCCAGATAAGATTATCCGATGACCATTTTTTAGTTATTAAAATTAAAATTAAAGATCTAAGAAAATCTTAAAGAGTAATTTTAATATATACACTTATATTGGAAATTAAAAAATTTGTAAGGAAAAAAGGAGGAGTAGTTACGTTTTCCTTGCTTTGGATACTCCTTTCCTCGATTCTTCTTTGGACGAGCAATATAAAGTATCTGTAGCTTTTCTTCAGGCTCCTCAATATTTTAGTTATTAAAGTGAAAATTAAAGCTGAGCTCGACGACGAATCTTTTCCTCCAGCGTGAACTCGTGAAAAGTTTTGTTGACCAATATTGAATTCGTCAATGAAATGTGTTACTTTTCACGAGCTCACGCTGGAAGAAAAGCCCCAGAAGCAGCCTTCTTAGGACTGAAAGTACAGTTATCATCTTAGAAGTTAAAGAATTTTTGAGAGAGGAAAGAAGGTACAGCATCGAGAAATCTGCAATTATGTAAATCGCACGAGAATATATTAACGGAATGCCGATGCGACATTAGCCTAGGTTGTCAGGTCGCAGTTGACTTACGTCCAATCCGCAAATTTACATGGTAAATTTGTCGGCACACCCCGCTCTGTCACCGCGAGCATTCAGGTTTGACGCGAGAGGATCATCGCACGAAAGTATCATTCGCTCATCGCATTCCAATAAGAAGATACGATACGATTGCATCGTGACTCCGTTGAGCCACGTGATTCTCAATTGATCCCCGCTGCTTTGTGCCGCTGTTGCTTATTGTCCTTTAGCCTTACGAGGTACGCGGAAATGAGCGCGGCGCATTGGAACGTTAGGGCTAAACGGGGTATAACAGAGTGTATAAACTTCTGGTAACGGTCGGGCAATACGTAATCCGTTGTTGCATCATTGCTTTCCTTCCTCTTCCCTCCCAGCAGATCGCTTCCCACGTACGCGACATTCACGCATCCGTGTGGGCGCGCACACGCGCTCTTACGCGCGCCGATCTTGTACTTTCTGCCTAGAAATGGCGACTCTGAGGAAGCGAGTGACACAAGAGACATTTTTTAATGTACGACATATATCCGATGCGAAACGGCGACCTTTACAAATTTCGGGCTCCACTCTGGGAGAAGAAAGACAGCAACCCACTTTGGGGCCCACAATTAGTGATCGAATTATTTGGATTGTTCGTACACTGAAAAAAATTTCTGGTTGAATATGGACGAATCAGATAATTCCTTTAGGATTTACCAGAATTCCTTTAGGATTTACCAGAATTTCTGTAGGATTACAGGAATTCTGTAATCCTACAGAAATTCTGGTAAATCCTAAAGGAATTCTGGTAAATCCTAAAGGAAATTTATCTGATTCGTCCATATTCAACCAGAAATTTTTTTCAGTGTAGCAATCTTTTACGAATTTTACCCCGCGTAACTAAAAGTCGCAATTAGCTATTCTGTATCCAAGATTTTTAAGTAATACTAATCAATTCTCTCAATTACAATAGTTCTGTCGATATTCAGTAACGCAAAGATAATTTTCACTCAAGACGCACTAACCGAAATGTTAAGTTGCTTAACTACAAAAGAAAAACAGGTGAAAAATTTTCCCAGACTGGAGTTACGAACAATCCAAATAATTCGATATACTAATTGTGGGCCCCAAAATGAGTTGCTGTCTTTTTTCCCTGAAGCGCAAGTTGCCGCCGCGCCGGTAAACAGCTCTTACGCGCGCCGATCTTGCACTTTCTGCCTAGAAATGGCGACTCCGGGGAAGCGAGTGACACAAGAGACGTGTTTAAACGGACGACATACCCGGGCCGACGCAAAACGGCGACCTTTACGAATTTCGGGCCGCACAAGTTGCAGCCGCCGCGCCGGCAAACAGCTCGTTCCATTCGATTCTTTTAGCAGCTTCATCAACCATATAAACATACTACATATAACTATATATATAACCGGTTCTCATGGCTATATATTTTGCAACATCTGTCGGATCATCGTGCTAAGTCACTGCATTAAGTCATTATACGCGCAAGTCGCGGGATAATTATGAGATAACTCTAGCGCACAGCAAATAAAACCTGTACAGTTATTCTTAGAATATTATAATATCATGTGCACGAAACTACGAGCGTATACTTTTTATAAAACTCATTTCTATCGCAGCGAGTGCTACTTTCTCCGGAATTTCTTCGTAAAATAGGCGCAATTGACAAACGCTCGAGCAGGCAATGGGTCTTCTGGCCCCGCGGGCCTCTCTCACGCATGGAAAAATATTTTTCTTTCTGCCCACTGTAAGGAGAAATGGGACAAGAATCCGGCCTCATGACACATCGCAGGCGACGGCCGCGCATCCTCGCCAGGTGAGCGCGCACGGGAGAGTGACCGTTACGCAGGTAGGACGCAGGTAGGACGCAGGTCGGTTCTCCAACCATAGCGCCACCTGAGCCGATCCATCGTCGGTGCCTCAAAATGGCCGTTCCTCTCACCTCAGACCTTCCTGGAACGTCGACGGAGGCAGGTGGCGATATTCAGGTTCCGATCTGACTCGCGAGGCCGCCTTCGCTTAGTGCCGAGACCTCATTCCAGGTGGCGAACAGCCGAAACCGTGTCACCCGGGACGTTCGTGCGCGCCGCGCTGGAAGGTCGAAAGTGCCTGTCGTGCGTGTAATCGCGCGAGAGTGGTACTCGCGGCGGAGAGCACCGCGAGAGTACGCGGCGTGTCTCCGCAGGGCGAGCCCGACGCGGTTCCCCCGGGGGTACTCGATCGCGAGGCGTTCCGTTCCGTCGGCGACGAGCGGCGATCGCGGGTGAACAGGTGGACTGGCCCTCCTCTCCTCCTCTACGCCGCCGTTCCCTCCTCGTGTTCCTCCTCGTCCGCGTCGAGCGCGCGCGCGCGCTCGCGAGGCTCGCGAAACGGAGCGAGGCGCGCTCGCTCGGTGATTTCGATGCGCGGCACGGAAATAATCGCTAGACCGAGGGGGACCGCGAGTGATACCGCGCGCGCGGTCGTTACGTAGTGGCTCGAGGCTCCGTCGTTACCTGCGATCTTCCACCTGGCTGGCGGAAGCTGGTCGCGCCCAGGGCCAGACACACCGGAGGACCAGACGACTCGAGGGACGGATATATGCCCGGCGGTCACGGAAGTCGTCCAGACTGCACGCGGCTAACGCCGAGGCGAGGATTATGAGGACGTACGTATCTCGCCGCGCGAGGATGAGTCGGCGGATTCTCGTTTCCGAAAAGCGGTAGTCGCTCCACTTTTACCGCAGCGGAAATCGCCGCTTCGCGGTTCTGTGATTTTCGACGGACGGCCGCGTAGAGAGAAATTGATCGCCGTGTGCGAGGTGGATCGCCGGTATTTGTGATTGGCCGCGAACGATCTGCGATCGACGGTGTCGATCAATTCCGCGACTTTTCGCGCCGGCGCGCTCGTTAATTCCGCTGGTATTTAATCAGCTGAGAGAAAGTCGAGTCTACTTACAGGGCTTTCGTAAATAATTGAGAAATTTCTCTGGACAATGTCCTACGAGTTTCAGTAATTATTCGACATTCAACAGCGTCGACGGCCGGTGTTGAAACCTGTCGGCTCGCGAGAGTAGGTGCCGGGACCAAAATTAGGACACGTGCCACGGATCATCAACGAGCGTATCGCGACACTTGTTCGCGCCGTGAGTTTAAACAACTCTATCGCTGCCGTATCGAATTATGTTTTATAGCTCTGCAAATGAACTGATAGATTATAATTCTTATCTCAGAGTTCGAGTCGTTTCAAACGTCGAGAATCAATTAAAAAAAAAAGAGGTCGAGGGACATCGATCAAGCAGTTTAATTGCTTTCGCGTTATTGGTCCAGACAAGGTAAACAGATATTAACGAAATCGATATTTAATGCCTTCATATCTCAGAACATGTCTCAGTGGTCGAATCGGTGAGACGCCCCCCGCCTAGAGTGTAGGGAGGTCCGTCCAGGTTCAAACCCTGACTGAGGTAATATTTTTCGCAATGAATTTCTTGAACTAGAATTTGCCAGCCGAGCGTCGCCTAGCAATTTTCTACATATCTCAGGAGGCTGATCAGTATACTTTTTCTATTTAATTCCACGTCAGTTACATCACTCGGAATGGGCGGCGCCGTTTTCACAAGTCTTCCTCGCGGCATATTTCCTCATGCTAAGTACATTCACATGCGCACGACAGAGATCTTGCATAATACACCCGGCAATCTTTTTCCTGCTGTAGAATTTGACTCCGCTGCCGAAGAAATCAGTCCGCTGGCTACGGAGCTGAACGCGATATCGTCTCCCTCGTTCGCGCGGCGCGCGTCCCGTTACCCCGTTGTTTTCGCGAAACAACGTTCCGCGCGCATATCCGAATCGAGAGTTGCGGGCCGCATTCCCCGCGATTTGCCCCGTAATAAAGTCTCCCGTGTCTCGCAGCGTGCGTGGCACCGCGCGGCGTGGCGCGGGACGCGTGCGCGCGGCAAATGCCTAGAAGAAAGGTGGGCCAGAATGGGGACACGGGCATTCGAATGGGCATTATCGACAAACTACGCGGAGGAATGCCATAAATAATTTTTACACGCGTCCCAAGTTCGCGTCTCGCTTTCTTCCTTACTTTTCCGAAAGCCGCTCTCGGTCTCGTCTCGTCGCCGCCGCCGACTCCGGATCTCGGCTCGTCGTCGCACCGGCGCGCGGATTTTATCGGCGGCGATGAATCCGCGCGGATTCGCGTGGGCACGCGTAGGTGCGATTACGCCATCGGGGCTTTTTATAACGAGCGGCGCGATAAATGGCGCGTCACTCTCTCGACGCGATCGCCGGAAGATCGCATAATTTACGAAGGAGCAACGCGCCATTGCGCGATCGTCGGCATCGGCGGCGCGGCGGTCCGTTCCTCGCTCCGGAGTTATGCAATTCGCCATAATCGTACCGCCTCGGTCGCATTCCTCTGAGAGTCGCTCGGTCTCGGCGTACGCAAAGCGCCGACCGCCGCCGATCGCAGGGACGGAGCCGAGCGGAAAGCGAATGGAACGTGGACCCCGGACACCCGGAGTAGTCGCGGAATGCTTTTCGTTCTGGAATCTTTGTCAATTCTCTCAAGGCTGAAGCACGTGTTCCCTTTCAATATCCGCTCGCGCTCAAATCTGCGCCCCCGCGAGTCAACGCGGAGAATCCGAGACGCGGAGAGCCTCCGTGCCTGCGGTCGCTCGCGACGGCGAAATTTATGAGGATTTTACGATTTCCGCGCTCGGCCGGCGCGCGCGCCGAACGCACGGAGTAAAATGTGCGGCTTAATGAGACGCGTTAAGGATTTCCGTTACAGGAGCGAGCGAGCGCGCGCTCGGTCGTATCAGAGAGATACGGGCATTAATCGGGCAGCATATATTCCATTACGAAAACGATCAATTCCGATTGAAACGTATCCCTTGAGCGACGACGTGTCAAAAATTGCACGGGAAGGTCGGGGGACCACGACGGGACCGATTTATCATATTCTATTAGCGGATAACAGGACGTACACCTGTGCCGCAGATATCGCGGGTAACTCGATGCAAGACGCTATCGGGCACAGTTGCGTCATAATCAATATTACGCATTATTAGTTCCATCGCCGGGGCAGTTACCGGCGAAGACTAGCTGGATTATATACAACGCGGTGGTAGCAGGGCATATAAGCGTTAGCTCGTCGGTGGAGTTCAGGCCGATGTAGCTGCTGTTATATACGGCGACGATCGCATCGGGTATCTGACAAAATGAGAATTCGATACGCGAGAGCAGTGAGATAAAGTAAATCGCGAGGGCGAAGTGCGAGGGACGAATCTCCACCAACAGTTCCAGGTGTGCGAAGTCGAAGTGTCTTCATGGCAACGGAACGTACAGAGGAAAGTCCTCTACTACGAGATAGGGTTTTAATAGCGAGAGGTTTCTGCGAAATTAATAGGCATCATCTGTTCCACCATGAATTTATCCTTGGTGTGAAATTTGTTTAGTGGAAAATTCACTGTTAGATCGTGGGACTGTTGCGAAAAAAGCTCCGTGATTGAATTTTGATGTTGAAAACCTGCTGTCTCGTATTAAAAGTCCATCTCGTAGGGGACTTTCCTCTCTTTAAGTCAGAACAGATTTGATGAGATCTTGAGAACTAATCAATTTTAATAATAATCGATACGTGAGAGCAGTGAGATAAAGTAAATCGCGAAGGCAAAGTGCGAGGGACGAATGTCGTCCCACGAATCTCCGCCAAGAGTTCCAAGTGTGCGGAGTCGAAGTTTCTTCATGGCAACGGAACGTACAGAGGAAAGTCCTCTACTGTGAGATAGGGTTTTAATAGCGAGATAGCGAGGTTTCTGCGAAGTTAATAGGCGTCATCTGTTCCACCATGAATTTATCGTCCTGGTGTGAAACTTGTTTAGTGGAAAATTCATTGTTAGATCGTGGGACTGTTGCGAAAAAAGCTCCGCGACTGAATTTTGATGTTGAAAACCTGCTGTCTCGTATTAAAAGTCTATCTCGTAGGGGACTTTCCTCTATTCAAGTCGGAACAGATTTTATAAGATCTTGATAATTAATCAATTTTAATAAATCCACTTGTGAGCGCGTGCAGTACGCCTTATGCATAACTCTCTAAAAGTCAATCAGTGAATTGTCACTGAAAACAGTGAACAGTCTGATCTGCAGTTATAAGCGTTACAAGATACTACCGAAAATTGCAGTGGTATACTTGTAACTGTAAACCAGTGGCTGTTCACTGTTTCAGTGATTGGGTAAGGTGATTAAATTCCGATCAGATACCAAATGCGGATCAACAATTTGACGAGTCGCTACCCTAGTAGTACAGTGCGTTGGCTAAATATTGGCCCAATACTATCAAATGTTGGGCGAATCTTTAACCAATGTTTCATCACTGCACTGGGGTAATAAGCGACATTTTTAAGTAATTCACTCAAGAGGCGCGCCTGAGCGAAAGGGCGGTCCAGGTTCAAACCCTGGCTGAGGTAAATTTTTCGCGATAAATTCAAAAATTAAAATCACTTAGACACTAACGTCCTGTCTTATATCCTTTATTCCTTCGAATTGTAATTCACTTAATTTTTACAACCTTGTGCCATATTGTCGATGTCATAAAAGGCATCGACGTGTTCTAGGTCAAATTTATGACCCGCATCTGGCATCCGATCCGAATTTGGTCACCTTACTCTACCCGACTGACTGACTTCTGAAGAGAATATTTTACTTAATATGACGCTTCACTAATAATAGCCGGGCTAGAGAAATGTTCTCCAAAACGCTCCAAACGTTCTCGCCGATTGTCGCGCGCGTTTAAATATAAACACAAGCCTGTGGCGCGACCGTAAATAAATTTCCTTACGGCGGCGTTGCACCTCTGGACTTTGCCGAGAGTCAACGAACTATCCCGCAGCGCGGCGAGAGCAGGTCGTACACACCGTGGCCTCATTTACAAAGAATTAGCTCATACTCTCGCGATGCGAGGGCCGCGATACGCGCGGCGACGTACGTACGAAATGCTTTCTCCCGATATGGCAGCGTGCACCTCGTGCTCGCTCTTCGGAAAGGAGGAACTTTCCGATACGTTCCATCGGCACCGTCGTCGCCGGGACCAACCGATTGTCTCTGCCGCACGCATCGAATTTACCCAATCATTGCGGAGACTTCGTTAGAGGTTGCTGCCGCGAAAGTATAAAAAAAAAATGGGGGCAACGTCCTCGTCCATTGGCTGTGAAAAAGCCGATTCGTTGTTCCGTGAGAGAGAAGGAGAACCGGAGATTAGGCACGTGTCGCGTTTCATGAATGTGTTGCTAATAACGTGTCGCAGGCGCCATTGTCCCGGCCGCCTGTACACAAAGGGTACAGTTGCCGCGAGTGCTCTGTAAGCGTTTCCGCGAAGTCGACTGCGGTTTCCAGTATTTAGCCGATTAAGGGGTCATTCCACTTTAACGGCCCAAAAACTGTGCTTATCTTTGACTTAAAAAAAAAATTTTTCCGCAGTAAATACACCATACGATTATGACAAAATTTTTCGGTGTTATTTAAAAGTGCCCTAACCCAGACAGCACACGATATTCTATGGATGTCCTGGGAACATTCTTAGGACATAAGGACGTCCAGAGGATGCCACGGAAAAAAAAGATTTGCTATGACAATCAAAAACCCTGCTAGTCTAGCAAATTTACCG